TGATGCCCTTTTTAATTTGGGAGTGGCACACTGATGCCTTCTATGCCTCCGTGTGGTGCAGCGGTTAGAATGCAGTACTGCAGGCAAATACTGCTGACTGCCAACCGCCAGCAGTTTGGCAGTTCGAGTCTCACCAGGCTCAAGGTTGACTCAGGCTTCCATCCTTCTGAGTCAGTAAAATGAGGACCCAGATTGTTGGAGGGCAATAGGCTGACTCTGTAAACCGCTTAGAGAGGATTGTAAAGCACTATGAAGCAGAATATAAGTCTAAGGGCTATGGGACTGGAGGCTAAAATACATAAAGAACTGTTGCAGGAATTGGGTATGTCTAGTTTAATGAAAGGAAGGATTCAGGGTGACATGATAGCAGTCTTCCAATATCTCAGGGGTTGCCACAAAGAAGAGGGAGTCAAGCTGTTCTCCAAAGCACCTGAGGGCAGGACAAGAAGCAATGGGTGGAAATTACACAAGGACAGAATCAACCTAGGAGAAATTTTTTTGACAGTGAGAACAATTGATCAGTGGAACAACTTGCCTCCAGAAGCTGTGAATGCTCTAATACTGGAAGTTTTTAAGAAGAGATTGGACAACCATTTGTCTGAAATGGTGTAGAGTTTCCTGCCTGGACTAGAAGACCTCCAAGGTCCCTTCCAACTCTGCTATTCTATTCTATTCTATTCTATTCTATTCTATTCTATTCTATTCTATTCTATTCTATTCCTTTAGACTCAAATTCACCATCTCATTCAATTGACTTAGTCAAAGGGGCTGTAAAATCCAAAAGAGACAATTTGGTCCAGCCGTTAAGGCATCGGGCTAGAAACCTGGAAGGCATGAATTCTAATCTCATTTTAGGAACAAAGCCAGCTGGGTGACTTCGGGCCAGTCATTCTCTCCGAGCCCCAAGAAGAAGGCAATGGCAAGCCACTTCTGAAAATCCTTGCCAAGAAAATTCCAGGCTGCCCAGGAGTCAAGACTGACTCAAAACACCAAAACATACAATATAATGCAGGAAAAAAATGGGTTGCCACCTCATATTGACTTGATAAAGGTTTATGAGTGCATTTGAATTTTTTTCTGCAGGGTCCCTTTGCAGGTTATCACCGCTCTTAAAGAGGAAAAATGCCATCTGGGGCATTTTAAAGCAACGGGTTCCCCATTCTAAAACCAGTTGTCCTAGCTCATGAATTTCCCTGAAGATTGAGCAAGGAAGTAAGAAAATCAGGGACTTCCCCAAACTGAGAAGACAGCTCAAACATCCAGAATACGGCTGTCTGGAAATGGAAATAGGAGAAGTGCACGCTGGGATTGGGATATATGAAATAATGCCCTCTTGCTTCATATTTGGAAGATAAGATTTATCTTTACTTTAATTTTACACACCTCCCATGAAGGTTAACAATGAGTAAACTCGTCCATTTGAATTTATTTCATTTTTTTCCCCATTACTGCAAACATGTCAGTACGTCATTGCAACTTCGAGAATGCCTTAACTTGTTTCTATTGGGGTTTATGACTATTGAAGTAGAAAAGCAATAAGGGAAATTAATATTATACATAGTAACTGCAGCAAGATGGAAGAATAATGAAATACCTACACTGGAAGATTAGATTATAAACTTTATAGAACTTGCAGAAATGGGGAAGCTGACCAATTTAGTGGGGTGGGGGGGGAAGCAGGGGTGAAATGCTTCCGGTTTGGACCGGATTGCCCAATCCGGTAGTGATGGTGGCGGGTGGTTCAGAGAACGGTAGCAAAAATCCTGCATCCCCACGCCCCCCCCCCCCCCCCCCGCCATGCCCAGCTGAGCCACCCAATCATCAAAACCACAGAACTGGCAGTAACAAATTTTACATTTCACTTTTTTTTTTTTTTTGAAAGATTGGAAACCTTATACGCACTTTTTTTTGCTGAAACAAGAAAAGACTGAATTGATGATTTATCAACCTGAGGATTAAAAAGAGTTAAAAGGGGGGGGGGGAATGATAAAGTAAGAGGAGGCAGAAGTAAAAGCCCAAGGTCACTTTGCAGAGTGGGATGAGCAACCTATAAATTTAATTGATTAATTAATAAATGAAAAGAGGGTGGGAGAGGAAAGAGTAAGATGGTAACTACTCAATGGAAAGAAGGGCAAAAATTGTAATTCTACATTTATATTTCTTATTTTTTCCTTCGCTTCTTCGTACTTGCATTGTATTTAAACATTCTAATAAATGAAGGCAGAGAATGTTTGTCTTAACATCAACATATATATTGTCCCATGGGTGAATTTTTGCATGAATTTGGTCTAAGGCTCAGAGCTTTTATAATACAATAGAATAACAGAGTTGGAAGGGACCTTGGAGGTCTTCTAGTCCAACCCCCTGCTTAGGTAGGAAACCCTACACCACTTCAGACAAATGGTTATCCAACATCTTCTTTAAAATTTCCAATGTTGGAGCATTTGCAACTTCTGGAGGGAAGTTGTTCCACTGATTTATTGTTCTAACTGTCAGGAAATTTTTCCTTAGTTCTAGGTTGCTTCTCTCCTTAATTAATTTCCACCCATTGCATCTTGTTCTACCCTCAGGTGCTTTGGAGAAGAGCTTGACTCCCTCTTCTCTGTGGAAGCCCCTGAGATATTGGAACACTGCAATCATGTCTTTCCCCCCCCCCCCCAGTCCTTCTTTTCATCAGACTAGACATACCCAGTTCCTGCAACCGTTCTTCATATGTTTTAGCCTCCAGTCCCCTTTTGCAAACGTCTGTTGCTTTTTCTGCAGATCCTTTCAATATTATCCTGCCAACATTATCATCAAGCTGCCCTACAAAGTTCAGATGCCTATGAGACGCCAAGTTTCAAATAATGAATAAATACATTTAGTTTGGGATTGATTGAAAACTGAAAAATAAGTTCATCAATGGGAATCATTCTTTTTTTTTTCCGGACCCAAGTCCTTTAGACCCACTGAGAAGACCTTTTTATATAAAAAGGGAATATGCATTTGCAACATTATCTCTTACCTTGTTGCCTAAGGAGGTTCTTTTATTTGCTTGTTTTCTTGATGTTCTCAATTTAGGAAACTAAGAAACAACAAAAGTGTGCAGAAGCTTTAATGAGTTATTTCTTGAGGTGTTTTCCTGCTGCCTACCTTCCAACCCACCTTTAAAATACTTGTCTTCTTAATACCTTCCATAGCCCTTCCTTCCTTCCTTCCTTCCTTCCTTCCTTCCTTCCTTCCTTCCTTCCTTCCTTCCTTCCTTCTTTCCTTCCTTCCTTCTCAATTCAAATCACTAATTCTTGCATTCTACCTTTGGCAACTGTGGTTATCAGCTGGATCTCAGTCTCCTATGCTCTCCTTTCCATGTCCCTTTGGTTTGCAGGGACCTGATGGCCTTGATGATGTATTGACGCCGAAGCTGCTTACCTTCATGCTAGCTTTATTCTTTTGTGAACTGTTTCGGTATTGTGGAGAGGGATCTAGGGAGATAGCCTTGCTTCACATACCCAGATAAGACTTTGTTTTTAATGTGTTTTCTTAAAGACATAGTGCCTTTTAAATGTTTTAAAGTAAATTATATTTTTACACAAGATGCCTCTGTCAGAATTATTTCAGTCTCAGTGAAGCATAGTCCTTACAGACGGGTTCCCATTATTAAGATTATGTGTCGGCAAACTGGTTCCTGCCTACTATATTGGACATCCTTTTCTTTCAGCTTCATCCAATGGTTGGACTGGAAGACCTCCAATTAGAAGACCCTTTCCAACTCTGTTATTCTCTGTTCTATGTTCATTGTGGTCACTGGCAAAGGATTGTAGAAAATCAGAAATCAAAACATTGGGAAGGGATGCTACACTTATACCCGTCCTTTCATATCCATCTCTTTCCATTTCTGGGGTGAAAAACCACCAAGAGTTACCACCAAGAGGAGATGGGCATATAAATTGGATAGCTAGCTAGCTAGCTAGCTAGCTAGCTAGCTAGATAGATAGATAGATAGATAGATAGATAGATAGATAGATAGATAGATAGATAGATAGATAGATAGATAGATAGATGATAGATAGATAGATAGTTGATAGACGGATGAACAGATGGATGGTTAGACAGACAGATAAACGGACAGATGGATGGATGACAGGCAGATGGATGGATGGATGACGGACAGACTGACTGACAGATGGACAGGGACAGACAGACAGATGATAGACGGATGGATGAACGGATAGACGGATAGACAGATAGACAGATAGATGGGTGGATGGGTGGATGGATGGATGGACTGACTGACAGATGGACAGGGACAGACAGATGATAGATGGATGGATGGATGAACGGATGGAATGGATAGACAGATAGACGGATAGATGGATAGACGGATAGACAGATAGACAGGTGGATGGACGGACGGACTGACTGACAGATGGACAGAGGCAGACAGATAGATGATAGATGGATGGACGAACAGATGGACGGATAGACGGATAGACGGATAGACGGATGGACAGGGGCAGATAGACAGACAGACAGATGGATGGGTGGGTGGGTGGATGGATGGACAGATGGATGGACGAATGGATGGACAGACAGAGACAGACAGATGGATAGCTGGATAGGACAGATAGATGGACGCACAGACGGATAGATAGGTACTTTTACATTTCTTATTATTTCTACACCACTCAATTCCATCAAGACTCTGGGTGGCATACAATAACTCCAAAATGAAATCGGAAGAATTAAAAGGAAGAGAAAAAAAAACCTCCTAGAACTAAGCAAACCCCAAAAGGCAAAGAAGAAAGAAAAGAGGAAAAGGAAGGACAAACATACAGGCAACGTGACCGAAGCTGCATCAGGTCAGAAGCAAAGCTGAGCTCTCAGCCTCTTCTTTTTAAATTGGAGTTACTTCCGGAGAAAGGGGGGGGAGCGGTGAGCATGAGGGTTCTTGCTGACTTGATCCCATCACGATGACAACCTCTTCCCTTTTTTGAGGTTTCCTGCTTAGAGCTATTTCTTTTCCTGTTCTCTCACTCTTCAGACGGATGTCACCACTGCCCCTCCAGTCCCAACGCCCTCACGCTTGGACGCTCCTTCCCAACAAGAAAGTCTTCAGGGTCAACGGCAACCCCCCAGCTTGGGAATGGGAACCTCTAATATGGCACAGTTAGGATTCCCCATCCTCCCCATTCTCCTGGGTTTGAGCTGGCCTCAGTTGGGTAAGTTGGAACAATCCTTTCTAGTCTCCTTCTCTATCTTGGCCTCCTTTGGATTTCGTGGTCCCATTTTTTTTTTTAATCTCCTGTGGCTTTCAGGCTTAGAAAGGATTTGCCTTTTATTGACTATCCCTTGATGAATATAATTTCCAGACATTTTTCTCAGGAAGCATTTTAAGAGGAAAAGACGTGTTAAAGCACATAGATCCTTCTCACTAGTCTTCTGGGATTGGGGGTGGCCTCCCAAAGCCAAATCATGAGAAGAATTCTTTTCTCCTCCTCCTCCTCCTCCTCCTCCTCCTCCTCCTCCTCTTCCTCCTCCTTTCCTTCCTCCCTCCTCCCTCCTCCTCTCCTCTTCTTCTTCTTTTCTTCTTCTTCTTCTTCTTCTTCTTCTTCTTCTTCTTCTTCTTCTTTCTTCTTTCTTCTTTCTTCTTTCTTCTTTCTTCTTTCTTCTTTCTTCTGTTGGCCCTTTTCTAGCTACAGCCTCCCAAATCATCTTTTTAAATAACCATTATTTGCTATATCTCTGAAGGGTTGGTGGCTTCTCTAAAGCCTGCCATCTTATAGGACACCTTACCAAACAGTTTCAGAGGAAAAAATATCTCTGGAAAAAATTTTGGGGTGTTCACGACCACGGAAATGCAATATGAGAATATGAGTACAAAATGATTCCTTGGGTCTTCTGGTTCTCTGTTGAGCTATCAGTTATGGGCTTTGTAATTCCTGTTCCATTATGTCGAAAATGTACAAGCCTTCACATCAGTTGCAAAGAATCCGATCTAGGGGAAAGAAAGACAGGGCCGGCCAAAAACGTTGAGCCCTCTGCATGATATAATAGCCCTGTGATACATTCCTCAGAGAAAATATGTTATGGCTTATTGTGTACAACAGTACAGCTACAATCTGCACAGCAAGTATAAATCCTCCTCGCTTACATCTTTTATTTTAAACGTTTAAAATACCGTGTTTTTCTCCTACTCCTTCTCTTCTAAATCATGAGAGAACTTGGGGGGAAGAGACATAAATTGGGAGATGGATTCCCCACCCCCACCCCAACTTCCAAGACATTCTACCCAGCATCTTTGGGCTTGAAAAGATCACTGATGGCTGGGTTTACACTCACAAAATACCAGCTTAAGCAATAGCTCTATTCGTACAACTGGAATAAAGGTGGCATAATTTTAATCTCGGTTATGTTATTGTGGCCTAGTGCGCTGTCAACTCCCTAGGCTAATATATAACTCAACCCCAGTTGCGCAATCTCAAAAAAATTCTTGATTTAGTAACACAGTTAATTATGCCGAGTGAAACGGAAGGTTTATACTAACAAGAGCAACCAGCTCCAGCTCCGTTTCAACACAACACAGTCGCCTCTCAACACTGCCAGACGGAGCTTTCTTCTTCCCCTTCTTGAAAAAGGTTGGAAAAATTAAACACTGCGGTCTGGATTATTTTCACAAATGTTGAATCTTTACTCTGTTGATTTCTGTAGATTAAAGCAATCAAAGGAAGCAAAAGGGAACCAATTGTTTATTGCCTCCCTGATGGCTTTACAAACCTAAAATTCACCTCTATTGGGGGGTGCTGGGTGAAAGATTGCTTTCATGAACTATAGCCAGGAGTGGGCTGATGGGGGTTTGCACGGGTGCGGGAGAATCTCTAGCTAAGATTCTATGCAGTTCGGAGAACCCCCAAATCCCACTCCTGGCTGGCCTCGCCCACCACGCCCTGCCCCTCCCAGGAGTCCCCATGTGGCCTGTTTTGGATGCAGGTAAGTGCAGGACTCGGGGACGGCAAAAAATGGGCCTCCTGGAAGTTTGGGAAAAGCCCATTTCCGGCCTCCAGAGGGCCTCCGGAGCTTGGGGAGGCTGTTTTCGCCCTCCCGGAGGCTCGAGAAAAGCCTCCAGAGCCCGGGGAGGGCAAAAACACCACCACCCCACCATGGTGCAGGAGGCTGACTAGGCCATGCCCACCATGGCCACGCCCTCCAAGTAACTGGGCAGAGAACCCCTTGCTAAAAATTTTGAAGCCCACCCCTTGCTATAGCTCACATCATCCAAGTGGCTAGGTTGATGTAGGATTCAGATGGGGTGAAGTGGGAGCCATTGCTCTAACGCACACACATCAGGCAATCTCAGAAGGCCTCCAACCCAATGAGGTTTTTTTTAGCACGTTGCATCTGTTCATTGATTATTTGCTTGTAACTGTGTCTCACGGGTAACTTGGGTCTGCATATCCAGCCTGTCTCCCTTTCCTTTCTCCCACCTTCACCATTGAAATCCTTCATTGGTCTAACTCAGTGTTCGAGCTACTCATTCTATCATTCTCTGGAAGAAGTGAATTGGGGGTGGGGGGCTTGTTTAAATGGTGCCGCAAACTAGATAACAGACCCGGCCTCCTTTCTCTCTCTCTCTCTCTCTCTCTTTTTCACAGGAGCTGCCCAAGGTGCAAACGGTAAGAGCCATTTCACTTCCCTGTTCATAAATAATTGCCTAGCCTGTAAATAACACAGAGAGAAAACAGGGAAGTGCCACAAAAATAAATGTGTCTTGGGAACAGCCTTTGCCAGTCTGGTTGCTGTGGAAAGGTTTTGAACTCCGAGTCCCCTCCAACTCTTTGTTGGAGTATTTATGCTGCCTGAAAGATTATGGGAGTTTCTTTATCAGATATATATATATATATATATATTTTAATGGAGAAAAATCAATGTGGTCACTAGAAGTCAAACATGACTTGATGGCACATAATAAATCAATCAGATTTATATCATACTGTTGTTTCACCCGCTGAAGATGGCACTGGCTGCTCCCCTGTTTGACCCCCCAACAGCAAATTGTGTGAAGTGGGTTGGGGGAGAGAGAGAGAGAGTGACTGGCTGCAAATCCTTGTCTAGCATTTTTCACAGCTATGCCACGCTAGATCTGGAATTAAAATCCAGTCATATCCTTAAGGCACTATATTGGAGAAAGATGATTTAAACAAAGCAGCTTGTCCTCTGGTATACAAATAGGCAAACCATTGCTGTTTAAAATTTTAGTGCCACGCCAATTGTTTCTCCGCATTGCTTCTCTGCAGGAGAACTGCTAACATTTGTAATTAATATGCTCCATTGGTATGTATTTCTTAAGTGTACGTTCCCTTCTTGTGTAGATTTCTCTATAGCAGGAATGGGGAAACTTGTAGGCTTAGCATGTCAAAAATTTGGAAAATGCTCAACGTGATTCTGCTGTCATTTCATATGCATGCACACACAGGGAATGGGGGGGGGAGAGAGAGGGGATAAACAGATGAACGGATAGATGGATAAAAGGACGGACAGATGGACAGATAGATGGACAGACAGATGGACAAGGACAGATCAGGGGTGAAATCCAGCAGGTTCTGACAGGTTCTGGAGAACCGGTAGCGGAAATTTTGATTAGTTCAGGGAACCGGCAAATACCACAATAAGGATATTTGCAATATCCTTCCCCCAGGAGTGGGGAGGGAATGGGGATTTTGCAGTATCCTTCCCCAGGAGTGGAGAGGGAATGGGGATTTTGCAGTATCCTTCCCCTGCCACATCCACCAAGCCACATCCAAGCCACACCACACCACGCCCACCAAGCCACATCCACAGAACCGGTAGTAAAAAAAATTGGATTTTACCACTGGGACAGATGGACAGATAGACAGCTTCAACTCTAGTGCCACCACTGTCACTGAAAAAGGCCACCTCATGCGATTCTTCAAGGCGTGTGAGCTTTAGGGGAATGGTGCCACCCTAATCTTCTTGAGGCAGCTTCAAAGAATGCTCTTTTTTGCAGCCTCTGCAGCCTCCAAAAACTGTACAAAAGCAGACTCCATTCTCACGAGAGTTTCATAAGCTCCACTTCTGGAGGCCTCAGAAGCTGCGCAAGAACGCACTTCATTGTCATACGGCCTGTGAAAATTGTGTGAGAAAGAGGCTTGTGCTTTCGAGAAAAGTTGTTGTCAAGTGTTCATGAATACTGATGTGTCCCCCACAAAACATTGTGGTGTGACACGTTTGACATGCATATCCTAGCAGGGGTGGTACTCACTTATCCTCACCACCGGTTCGCAAATGTGAGCACACACGCCTCCTCCGCGCATGCGCAGAGCAGAGGTGGGTTTCAGCAGGTTCTGACCAGTTCTGGAGAACCGGTAGCGGAAATTTTGAGTGGTTCGGAGAACCGGTAGTAAAAATTCTGACTGGCCCCGCCCCCAACTATTCTCTGCCTCCCGAGTCCCAGCTGATCAGGAGGAAATGGGGATTTTGCAGTAACCTTCCCCTAGATTGGGGAGGGAATGGAGATTTTACAGTATACTTCCCCTGCCATGCCCACCAATCCATGCCACGCCCGCCAAACCACATCCACAGAACCGGTAGTAAAAAATTTTGAAACCCACCACTGGTGCAGTGCCTTCCACGCATACGCAGAGTGTCAAAAATGGGATGTGATGACATCCAAGCAGGTGAGTGGAGCCTCCCGCAACCGCCGCTACCGATTTGGCTGAACCGGATAGAACCAGCTGAATACCACCACTGTCTCGTAGCTTCGCCATCGCTGCTCAATTGACTTCTCCAGATTGTTGAACAAACCCAACACCAGCTTGCTGTCAGCAACGTCGTAGCATCTGGTGTTTTCATTCTAGTCTCCAAGTTCTGCATTCTATTGTACTTATTTATAGATTCAGTCTGGCCCTTATTAAAGGAAGAAAATGTCATTTGCCATTTCTTCACTCCTTGCTCTTAAACCGATAGGCCAATTTGAAATTTATGTGTACAATGAAATTTCGCTCGTTTTGAATTTTTGCCATGCTGCTCTACTGTTAATCGGGAAGCGCCCCTAATGGTGAAACTCACATAGAGGGAAAGGCATTATGTGTAGGGGGAAAAAATAGCTTGCAGAAATGGTCACCACCTGAAAAAGGTAGCAAGACGTGGAGCAAAGGTGCCTTTTAACATGTAGCCGGTACTATACTTTACCGATGCTTTATAATTCTATAAAAGTAAAAGAATGCTCGTCCCTGCACTCAATCTCTGGAGTTATAAATAAAAATTGCAAACTGAACTTTTAAAACGCCAATTTAGCAACAGGCAGAGCAGCCGCGACTCGCTTTTCCTGTTTTCTTCTGCTGATCTTTGATTATAATAAATTAACACTGAAAACTGTTTCTACCCTGATCCAATTGTCTGCCCCTTTCCCCGAACCTGCTCCAACTAATTCTAGGCTCCAAAGGCAGGCAGAAAACGGAGTGAGTAAAAAAAATAGAAAATGTGCATATTGCTGCTAACTCTTCTGACATTCCTGGAGCTGCATTAAAGATGCAAGGAGACTCCCTAACTTTGCATCTGCCCTAAACTGGGGGTGCTTCTGCAGAGAAGGTTACTTTGGCTTAATGGTAGGACCAACCAGGGGTGAAATCCAGCAGGTTCTGACAGGTTCTGGAGAACTGGTAGCGGAAATTTTGAGTAGTTCGGAGAACCGGCAAATACCATCTCTGGCTGGCCCCAGAGTAGGGTGGGAATGGAGATTTTGAAATATCCTTCCCCCGGGAGTGAGGAGGGAATGGGGATTTTGCAGTATCCTTCCCCTGGAGTGGGGTGGGAATGGAGATTTTGCAGTATCCTTCCCCTGCCACACACACCAAGCCACACCACACCCAACCAAGCCATGCCCACAAAACCAGTAGTAAAAATGTTTGGATTTCACCATTGGTCCCAGAGAATATCTGTAGCTCAGGGCTGAGTTATGGAATTCTTGGTGCTCTCCGAACTTGGTTGTTTGGCTGCAGACGTCTCACTACCTGACCAGGTAACATCATCAGAGCACTGATGATGTTACCTGACCAGGTTATAAAGCATCTGTTTTGCAAAGCAAACAACCAAGCTCAGAGAGCACTTAGGACCTCATGGTAGGGCCAGCTTCTCATCACCAAGAAATTAGGGCTGAAAGGATCAGAGGTGGTAATCAGCCGGTTCGGACCGGTTCGGGTGAATCAGTAGTAGCAACCTGTGGGTGGGACCTCCCACCCGCCCCAGCACTATGCTATGCCATTTATCCATGTTTTCAAGCCGCATGCATGGGTGCAAGCCGCACGTACGAGAAACGTGCATGTGCGGAAGGCCGCGGGCTCACATTTTCGGTGCTGGGTGAACCGGTAGATAAATTATATGAATCCCACCTCTGGAAAGGATACGTGAAGCCCCAGACAGCACATCTCTGTGCTTCTCACAGTTGTATCCTTTTGAATCCTCAGATTGTGGCCATTGCTTTCGGATCGATCCCGGCACCATTGCAGGAATCGTGCTGGGAGATTTGTTCCTGACTTTGCTCATTGCTCTCGGAGTCTACTATGTGGTCAGCTGCATCTATAAGCAGAAAGCAACCAGCAGTGGTAAGGAGGAGAGATTCCCGCGTCCCCAGTGCACACTTTCCCCTTGAAGAAATGTCAGTGCTTGATGGTGCGTGGATCTAAGTGAAAGGACCGTGTGCCCACAGCAAATGGCTGCATGCTGAATTGGCACTTGGCAGAGTAGACGGCGTTTGATGGCCTTGACCCTCACTGTTTTAGCATACCATCCGTGCCAAGTACAATCTGCACAGCCTCCATAAGACAAGGTCGCAGAAGCAGAGTTTTTTCAAACTTGGCAACTTTAAGATGGGTGGACTTCAACTCCTAGAATTCTAGGAGTTGAAATCCACCCATCTTAAAGTTGCCATGTTTGAAAAAACACTGTTCTAGATTGTAACACAACCCTGGTGCCAGACTGCGATGCTATCTCAAAATTAAATGAATTTCCAAACTGCCAATCTTTAAGGAAATCTTTCTTTAATTGAGCACAGCCACCAGATCATGACTCCGCGCGGACAAGACTGACCTTTTGCCCCCCAATCCCTCTCTTTCCGATCCCCAAATCTCTGCTTCTCATTGGCTATCTTCCAAGTCATTCTTCAGACTTCATTCCCCAGGAATGTGCCCCTCCCCTCATTTCCACGACAACCCGGCTTCAAAGGGATTTAGCAGGCAAAAGTCCCAGAGTTTATCTCTCGCTCTCCTCTGCTCTCCATGCCAGCATTGAAACGCTGACACCTGGTGCATTTGGAAAAAAAAAAAAAAAAAGAAGGGCCTATGCTTTCTTTTTCTGATTTTTAGCAGACAAAAAGGAAGAGCTTCCCTCAATCTATTTATATCTATAGATCTATATCTATAGCAGGGGTAGGCTGCTGGGGGTTCGCAGGGGTTCGGGAGAACCTCTACCTAAGATTCTGTGCACTTCGGGGAACCGCCAAATCCCACTCCTGGCTGGCCCCGCCCACCCAGCCCCGCCCCTCCCAGGAGTCCCCACGCGGCCCATTTTGGATGCAGGTAAGTGCAGGGCATGCATGGAGGCTCGGATAGGGTGAAAACGGGCCTACCGGAAGTTCGGTAAAGCCAGAAACAGCCCCGTTTCTGGCCTACAGAGGGCCTCTGGAGCCTGGGGAGGCCATTTTTGCCCTCCCGGATGCTTGAGGAAAGCCTCTGGAGCCCAGGGAGGGCAAAAACACCCCCCCACACACACACACCATGGTGCAGGAGGCTGACATGGCCACGCCCACCATGGCCACGCCCACCCAGCAACCGGGCAGAGAACTCCTTGCTAAAATTTTTGAAGCTCACCCCTGATCTATCATCTATATTTCTATCATATCTATATCTATCTATCTGTCATCTGAAGTATTACAAAAGAGGCGTTAAAATGGAGGAAGGCGGCCGAGAAACAAGGTAGAGTTCTTCAGGAAGTCAGTGTTCAGTGAAACAGGTGGTCATAAGGGCCTCTTTTTATTTTTAAGCCCAAAGAAGGTCAGGTGGCTTTGTTTGAAGATACAAGTTGGCCAATCCTAGCTTGTAGCCGCAGCCTTTCAGTAAACCGTTAACCACAGTTTCCGTGTCACATCTTTCAGCAAGTGAGATAACACAACCTCCACTCCCACCTCTTGGTTCTCTTCAGATGGGAATCTCAAAAATATGTTTCATGCACTCATCGCCTTCTCTTTCTTCTTAACAGAAAAGCCTCAGCATGAATCTCCCTATGAGGTAAGTATAACGTATAAACACTATATTTACTTTTCTTCCTAAGGTCTCTACTATGGGCTGTGGAGTGACAGCTGCAGCTTCTCTACTAGCCTGGAAGGGGAAAAAAACCAAGGACTTGTTGACATTTAACATTGCACACACGCACCCAATGTTGGCCCTACTACAAGAAGCCAGGTTGCATGCGATAGTAAAGCTGGGTTTGTTTGTGGGCCAGCTTGTCGTGATGATGCACCATCCGTGATTCGGACAGGTTGTTTTGAACACAACGGTTGTCTTTTGTTAAGCCAGGTTTAGAATTCAGAATGTTGTAGGGACCGAGTCAGAGAGAATGCAGGGTACTATGTGATTTGTTGGGTTTTGACTTAACATGAATCCAATCATGATGTGTTTGTTTTAAATGTGAGTTATCGATTCTGTGCTGTCAAGTTGGTGCCCACCAGGCATTCCCAATAACGAAGAATTTTATCACAGATTTGCTGGAAAGTCTGAGAGTTTAGTTCCAATACCTGTAAATGTTACTAAGAAAGGGAGCACTAAATGCAGCTAATTCATAATTTTTGTCATCTCTTGGCTAAATAGAATGTTTAGACATTCTCAAATAATCTGTATATACTCTGGAGCAGGGGTGAAATGCTCCCAGTTTGAACCGGATTGCCTGATCCGGTAGCGATAGAGGCGGGTGGTTCGGAGAACCGGTAGCAAAAATCCCTGCCCCCCCCCCCACGTCCCCCTGAGCCCCACAAACCACAGAGGGTTTTTTTTTTTTTACTTTTACAACCTCTTCGGCCAAAAAATGCTTTTAAAAGTAAAAAAAAAAAAAGCCTCTGATGATCGCGCGGCTCAGCTGGGATCGTCAAAGGCTTTTAAAAGAAAAAAACTCTTTTAAATGCCTCTGACGATCCAAGCTGAGTTGCCTGATCGGCAGAGGCTTTTTAAAAAACCTCTGACGATCAGGCAACTCAGATTGGATCGTCAGAGCTTTTTGAAAGCATTTTTCTACAACCTCTTCGCTGAAGAGGTTGTAGAAAAAATGGTTTTAAAGGTAAAAAAAAAATTGGCCACGCCCATCCAGTCACATTACCCCCCCATCCCCACCAAGCCAAGCCCACAGAACTGGTAGTAACAAATTTTAGATTTCACCACTGCTCTGGAGAGTATAGACTCCAGAGCAGTGGACTAGTTGCTAATTTATCAGAGCTTAAGATTCTTTGGGAAAAGGACAGAGGTGGTATTCAGCCGGTTTGGAACGATTCAGGCGAACCGGAAGTAGCGACCTGCAGGTGGGCTCACCACACATCCACCCCGCCCCAGCGCTATGCAGTCCTATTTAGCCATGTTTTTAAGCCATGTGCATGCATGGAAGCCACACGTGGGAGCAAAGTTCATGCGTGAAAGGCCATATGCATGCGTGGAGGTCACATTTTCGGTGCTGGGTGAACCAGTAGTAAATTATGTGAATCCCACTCCTGGAAAAGGAAAATGATAATATACATACACCCTCTTTCTGACCCTGCAGGAACTTCAAGGGCAGCGAATGGATATATACAGCGACTTGAAAAATCCAGGTTCCCGAATTCCTTACAGATAATCTTCCTCCACTTCCTTGACCTTCCAACATTAAGTGAGAAATTCTGAGATTGAAGTCATTTTCAGAAGATCAGCTCCACTGTTGTGTGCAAGCTTTCCACTGTGAAGTTCTACCTGACGGCTTCCCCTATATAACATCTTGCACTTCAATCAACATTTAGTCTATTTTCAAAACTGTCTGTGTCTCCCACTACCCATACTTGCTACTCTTTTAATAAGTGTATCACCAAGGGTCTCTTGGGCAATGGAGGTGGCTTATAAATTGAACAAATAAGTAAATAAAATTAGACACATTTAGGACGCAGTGGCTAAGACACTGAACTTGTCCAGGGGTGAAATGCTACTGGTTCAGACCGGTTCAGGCAAACCGGTAGTGAAAAATGCTACCAGTTCAGGCGAACTGGTATTTCCGATGATCAGCTGGGCGACGATCAGCTGTGACACATGATTTATATTAGCTAGAATCGTCAGATTTCCTGCTTTCTAGCTAATGTAAATCGCTTGGCACAACGGATTCCCCCCCCCTTGCCTTGCTGTTCTACTTACCTTTGCAGACTCGGAAGGCTTCAAAATGTTCCTTTTTTTAGCACTGCGCGGGTGCGCCTCAAGTGCGCATGTGCGTGAAGCACGCACTCGGTAGCAGACTCACAGAACCGATAGCAGACTTCAGAGCATTTCACCCCTGAGCTTGTCAATCAGAAAGGTTGGCAATTTGGCAGTTCAAATCCTTAGTATAGGTCTCCTGTATTAGCCGGGAGTTGGACTAGATGACCTCCAAGGTACCTTCCAATTCTTTTAGTGTTATTTACCTGAATCACCATCTGTTCCACCCCATTGGTGGTCGTATCATTGAAAAAGTTATTCAGGAAGTGTGAACTTACTGTTCTCTGAACAGAGCCATTATTTCTGCCCAGATATGGGGAGATGAACAGCATAAAAATTTAATCAATAAATAACAAAAAAAATTCAAAGTAGACAGATTCTGGCATAGCCATCCAGGCTTACAGATCTAACTGAATCTGAGTTGCCCCCATAACCATATATCCAAAAAAGGCTGCCTGGAAGATTTGGGGAATCTATTTATTAGGTGGTGGTTGTTTTTCGTGGAGGCCTCTCAGTTCCTTTTTTTTTTTTTTTGGCTCAAAACCAAAAGGGTTGAGTTCAGACACAGCTGCCTTTAGATTTTGAGGAAATTTATATTAATTGAAATTAATAGGGTCTTAGAACCTGATGAATTTGATTTCAATGAAGTTCATTAATTTCATTTCCAATCCAATCATTTACACCGGTTTTTAAAGGTGGAGTCTTCTGGAAAGCCCAAATGGATGGTTGTTATGGAAGATGTGTAAATTGCTTTTACTAGTGCCATTTGTTTATTAACTTCTTCTAGTATACACTGAGTTCCAGGGAGAAGCATTTCCCATAACTTGCTTCTAATCAGAAAGTCAACCTTGGACCTCCAGCATGCAAGCAGATGTTCTATCAACTAAGGAAAGAGAGCGTTTAAAACAAGGGTGTTCAACCTTGGCAACTTTTAAGACTTGTGGACTTTCAACTCCCAGAATTCCCCCAGCCGTCATACCTGGCTAAGGAATTCTGGGAGTTGAAGTCCACAAGTCTTAATGTCGCCAAAGTTGGATATCCCTCATATAAGAGATTCTTGTTTCCTTTGCTTCCTTTGCTTAAGTGCAGGGCTGAGACGTTAGGCGTATTGTATTATGGATTTGCTATACTTTTATTACCTTTTTTGCATATAATTTGTGTATATTTTTTCACGGAGGTTTTTTTTTTTTTTTTTCCCATTCAATAAAATTTGCTTTGCTATAATACGGAGAAAATCCCGTGCCTCTGATTGCTGTAAAGCAGGGGTGTCAAACATGATGGCGTCACGTGATGTCACGTGACTTTTTTTTTTTTTGCTTTTGCAGAACCAGGGTGGGTGTGGCTTGCGCAGGACGCATCCGGCCCACGGGCCGCCAGTTTGACAGGCCTGCAAGAAAATGGCTGGATTCTCATCTCAAACTAAATTAAAGATTACCACACAGGACAGATCCCACCTGTGGGAGTCTCCTAGCTTGATTTCTCAAATACAAAATTTAAAATAAAAGTAAAACAACAGCTGAAATTTCACAAGCTCTCTGATCTTGTGATATCCTTCAACAATTATGGAGAGAATTTGCCTCATGGCTGTATTCAATGACCTTTAATTGCCAGGTTTCCGGCAATGTGGAAAAAGCATTAAAAAGTTAAGAAGCTGATCAAGTTCTATTTGTGCCTAGGACTAGGTCTGCAGAACAGATTTCTCCATCATTTCTGGAATTAATCTCAATACATGAAACAAGGTTTAACAGCATAACTGTGAGAGGCATCTTGAAGTCTTAGCGGACAACCAATTAAATATGAGCTGACAGTGTGCGGTAGCAGCCAAAAAAACCAACACAATCCTAAATTGCATTAACAGAGGGATACAATCAAGATCAAGGGAGGTACTAATACCACTCTATAAAACATCAGTAAAACCACACCTAGAATACTGCATCCAATTTTGGTCACCACTCTATAAAAAAGATATTGAGACTCTAGAAAAAGTGTAGAGAAGAGCAACCAAGATGATTAGGGGACTGGAGGCTAAAACATACAATGAACGGTTGCAGGAACTGGGCATGGCTAGTCTAGTAAAGAGAAGGACCAGGGGAAACTGCCACAGAGAGAAAGGGGTCAAGCTATTTTCCAAAGCACCCGAAAGCCAGACAAGGAATAATGGATGGAAACTGATCAAGGAGAGATTCAACCTGGAAATAAGGAGAAATGTTCTGACAGTGAAAACAATCAAACAATGGAACCGCTTGCCTTCCGAAGTTATGGGAGCTTCATCTCTGGAAGCTTTCAAGAAGAGATTGGACTGCCATTTGTCAGAAATGGTGTAGGGCAAGGGTCAGCATGTGGCTCCTTCATCCCTCTGCTGCGGCTCCCTGTCACTCAAAATATGTGTCACAACCGCCAATGTGTGACACCTGCCGGCACACAATTTATTGAGCTTTTTGACCCCCAGTAGGCCAGCCATGGATAAATACGGGTTTTTTTTACATATCATAAAGGTAAAAAACCGATATATGCAGTGTTATCTTCATTTTAGATGTCAAAAGGGTTTTGTGGCTCCCGGGTGTTTTCTTTTCTGTGGGAAACAGGGTCCAAATGGCTCTTTGAGTGTTTAAGGTTGCCAACCCCTGGTGTAGGGACTCCTGCTTGGGCAGGGGGTTGCACTAGATCGGGGTGGGCAAATGTGGCTCTTTTACAACCTGTGGACTTCAACTCCCAGAATTCCTGAGACAGCCAAGCTGTCTCAGGAATTCTGGAAGTTGAAGTCCACATTCTGGGAGTTGAAGTCCACAGGTTGTAAAAGAGCCACCTGTGGACTTCAACTCCCAGAATTCCTGAGACAGCCAAGCTGTCTCAAGAATTCTGGGAGTTGAAGTCCTCATTCTGGGAGTTGAAGTCCACAGGTTGTAAAAGAGCCACATTTGCCCACCCCTGCACTAGATGACCTGCAAGATCCCTTCCAACTCTGTTAATCTAATCTAGCACTGATTGTGTTACCTAGTTTGGGTCATGAAACATCTGCAAGGAAACAACCAAGCTCAGAGAGCACCAAGGATCCCTCATTGCAACCTTGAGCTATTAATATTCTCCTGTATTGGAACCCCAGTTCAGTTTGGGTACAAGCCTGAAATTCCTTTTAGGCTTAGTGCGCTCAATCAAGACCGCTGCAGCAGTGGGGAAATTATTAATCAAGATCACTTAGAGAGGTATTGGCTTTTAATTTTGCCCCTCCCCTGCAAAGATCAGATTCATCAACTGTGCAGGGACCAAAAAAAATAATAAAAATGGGCAGGGCATGCAAACTGCAGTGAAATTCATCTGCCGTCTGCCTGATCTTAGCCATCTAGTTAATTACAAAATGCGCCAATTTGCATTCAGGAGTTGGGCAGTTATTTGCTGTGTGCTTCCTTTCTTTCTAATTAGCTGCTTTTCAACATAGCCATGCATAAATGTAAAGCCACAGGCTATTTCCTGCTGGATCATTGCAGAGTTGTGCAGCTGACAACGGAGGACTTTCATTCTCTTTTCCTTCCCATGGAAGCTGCTGCAGCACACAGATACCCATACCGAAATGAACATTTAGGGTTTGCCCTACACATGGAACCATCAACTGGCCAGACAAATATAAACCATGAGATACTTGTATGGAGAGAGGGGAGTGGGTTTCTGGAATGCTGATATATTAATCAAGATCTCTTAGGGTTATTGGCATTAACTTTGCCCTTCCCCAGAGATTGGTTCTCCTGTCAGGCCTGGCCCTGCCTGGTCTCCTAGGAAATAAACACTCTGGACGCTATTGGTAGCGAAAAAGTTACTTTTACTAAAAGCCAAGTGGTTAAAGCAGTAAAGCAGGATCTAAAGGTTTGCGCGCAAAGAATCTAGGAATCCTCATTAACTTCCCCTTCTCTGTTTGACACACACCGTTATCTCCCCATTGTCCAGTCACATTCCAAGAAGATGTTTTGATAGTGTTCCAATATTTGAGGGGCTACCAGAGAGGAAGGGGTCAAACTATTTTCCAAGGCACCCGAAGTCCAGGCAAGGAATAACAGATGGAAAATGATCAAGGAGAGATTCAACCTGGAAATAAGGAGAGATAGTGAGAACTAGCAACCCATGGAACAGAAGTTGCCTTCGGAAGTTGTGGGAGCTTCATCCCTGGAGGCTTTCAAGAAGAGATTGGACTGCCATTGGTAAGAAATGGTGTAGGGCAGCCTTGGGTGTCAAACTCACATAGTCATGGTGGCGTCACATGACGTTTTGGGACTATTTTCCCCTTCACTAAACCGGGTGTGGGTGTGGCCAGCACATGATACATCCAGCCCACGGGCTGGGAGTTTGACAGCACTGGTGTAGGGTCTCCTGCTTGGGTGGGGGGGGTGGATTAAATGACCTACAACCATGATGGCGAACCTATGGCACGGGTGCCACAGGTGGCACGCAGAGCTATATTGGTGGGCATGTGAGTGTTGCCCTAGCTCAGCTCCAGCGCGCATGTGCACGCCGGCCAACTGATTTTCAGGCCTTCCGGTCCCTCCGGAAGTTGGGAAACTGGCTGTTTTCGGACTCCGGAAGGCCTCCGGGGGAATGGGGAAGGCTGTTTTTGCCCTCCCCAGGCTCCTAGAAACCTCTGGAGCCTAGGGAGGGGAAAAAACGGGCCTACCGAGGCCACCATGCCATTGCGTGCCAAAAGCAGGGGGGTCACGTGTGCATGTGTGAGAGGGCGGGGCGCATTGAATTATGGATATGGGCACCCGCACCCGCGACCCCCCACACTCCCCCCCCACTTTTGGCACGCGAGGGCAAAAAGGTTAGCCATCACTGACCTGCAAGGTCCCTTCCAACTCTGTTAATCAATTAATCTGTGGCCTTGGGATGTCTCTGGAGAACATCACTTTTGATTTCCCCCTCATCTTCCCACAGCTCCCTCCCCCACCCACCCCCACCCCCTGTGGCTTATGGCAGGCTGGCATTTAGCGAAGCATAAGTGTGAGCAAAGGATGGCAGCTCTAACCTCCCCGTTGTCCAGTCATCCAGTCATTCATCAACTAAGCCGGGCCAAAAACTGGACACGGCAATGCAAAGCGAAACCTATGTACCAACTGCATGATCTTAGCCAACTGGTTAATTACAAAACGGTCCAATCTGTACCTCTGCCTTGGGCAATCATTGGGCACACCCTCACTTTTTTTTTTTAAATTAGTGGCCTTGCAACATAGCCACACACAGTTAAAGGAACAAGTTACTTCCTCCCGGCTCGCTGCAGAGATACGTATCTGAAGAAGGAACCTTTGTGTTTCAGGAAACAGGTATGCAAACTTAAGCAAAGGTTTTAAATTCGGTAAATCGCTGTATCATCGATGGAGCAGAGGAGCATATGCCACGCCAGGCTCACGTGCAACTGGCCAGTCGATGGTGCAACGTGTCATGTGCACACAGAAACGCAGGGAGCACACATGAAAACGACGAGTAACTAAAACCGAGCATTTCGGAGGCTTCTTAACATCATCCCATTATCGGATGCTGTAAAAGCCACTTTGAAGAGAGTATTTATTAAAGAACTCTTTAAAAAGGAAAAGTATTAGAATCAATTCATAAAGAATCTGGATCAAGGGCAAAGTATAAAAATGCACGCAAAAGAAAAGAAAAATCTTGAAGACAGCCACCAATTTAATTTATACAATGCAGACACTTTTACGAACATGGGAATAAAAAGCTCAAGACAAAAGCAAATGGATTTGGAGGGGTGGGGGCAGTCAACACAGAGCCATATATGCAGGTAAAGATCCTAATGGCATTAGAATAATTTGGAGATAAGAACTCTGTAACACTTTTCTTTGGTTTTCTTTTGCCTTATATATATATATATCTCATACTCATACATATTTAAGAAATTAGAAATCATTTATAGTGTTCTGATATTTCATCTTTACAATCTTAATACTTTCTCCACCATAGAGAAGATAATTACTTATTATAAATTGATATGCTCGTTACAAATTTATTCATTCATTAGGTTAAATCAGGATTTCTCAATCTCTGCAGCTTTAAGACATGTGGACTTCAGCACCCAGAATTCCCCAGCCGGCAACTGGCTGAAGAATTCTGGGAGCTGAAGTCCACATGTCTGAAAGCTGCTGAGATTGAGAAAACCTGATTTAAATGGCTTGCCCACCCGACTCCAACGGACTCTAGAAATAAACAAAAAAACCACAGCAAAAACATTAAA